CCCCCCCCCCCCCCCCCGCCCGACTAGAAGAGTCCAAGGGCTCCAGGAGTGCTGCGGTGCCTCCTGGAGTTCTGGCAGCATTTGCATGCTTTGCCCATTTAACACATATTGGTACAAGTTAGCCAGATTTCAGTGTTTTAATCAAAGTCAGCAAGGTTTGGGAGGGCTTTACGAAAACAAAGTCAGCGTTCCCTGTAGCCTGTCAAGGGCCAGGTTGCAGGGTTCTTGATTTCTCATCATGATTGAAAAATTAAACAGTCCACTCTCTCAGCCCGCCCCAGGAAGCTGGGACAAGGGGGCAGCTGCACACTTGAGCCCCTCGTCTGTTACCAGTGCCCACATGGTCCACATCTCCAGGGGGCTGAGGCGGTGGACCAGAAGGAGCCCTCGGTACAGACAGGGGTCTAGAGGGTCCAGGGGCCGCCGGATTCCGAAAGTCTTGAAGCCAGTGTGGTGCATGGGGCTCACCCCCAGCTTTCTCAGGCACATCCCCACAAAGACGTCATCAATGGGGAAGAGTTCAGCCTCTTCCACAGCCACCTGGAGGCGCTGCACGGTGGCTCTGGACATGACATACCCCCCACCCCCAGCATAGGGCGGGTAGTGGCGGGCCCTGTACATGGAGGGTGGGATGAAATATTTGACCTTGGTGTTCCTGTTGGGCAGGGCCTGGCGGATGACATCCCCCACCAGGAGGTCCTGGGCTGGGTCCCAGCCATCCAGGAACTCCAGCACATTGGGGACATGGACAAAGACGTCGTCATCTCCTTTTAGTATGAAATGGGCCTGGGGGCAGGCAGCAGCCACCCAGCGCTGCAGGTGCAGCTCTTTGAGTGTCAGGTTGAAGAAGTCCTCAGCAAAGTCCCACTGCAGGATGTCATCGAACTCGCGGCTCTCGTAGGCCAGCAGCTGGGCTGGGGGAGCAGGCCCTGCTAACCCCAGGAGGAACACAAGCTTCAGCTGCTGGCCCTTAGCCCAGCTTCCCGCCCGGCCCCACGTGCTGCGGATGGCTGTGCGCCGCTCCACATGGCCGGGCTGCGACTTGATGGCCAGGAGCAGAAAGGTGTTCTCGGCACAGCGCGAAGGCTCCAGCAGGATGGAGAAGTGGCGGCAGTGGCGGTAGGTCAAGAAGAGGCGGTGACGGGTGGGCAGGAACAGGGAGGCATTAGCCACTGTGTGGTTGGGTAGACATGGGCTGCGCCGGAGCCCTGGGGGAGCCCAGAAGGGCTGTCGGGCCATGGGGCCCCCCGCTGGCTGGGCCTCCTTCTTCAGAAAGAACAGGCAGCTGAGCAGCAACAGTGCAAGGCAGTACGGCACCAGCCACCCCACCCTGCGGAACATGGTGGTCCTGCAAGGAGAGAGCCGGTGAGCGGACGCAGTCCTGGCCCGGCCTCCACCTTCTCCATCCAAGAGCAACCCACCATCCTACGTGCGTGCTAAGTTGCTCAGTCATGTCCGATTCTCTGTGACCCCATGGACCGTAGCCCACCAGGCTCCTCTGTCCATGGGATTCTCCAGGCAAGAATACTGGAGTGGGTTGCCATTTCCTTCTCCAAGGGATCTTCCCCACCCAGGGACCGAATCTATGTCTCTGGCATCTCTGCTTCCCTGGTGGCTCAATGGTAAAGAATCCATCTGCCAGTGCAGGAGATACGGGTTCGATCCCTGGTCCAGGATGATCCCACATGCCTCAGAGCAACTAAGCCTGTGCGCCACAACCACCGAGCCTCCCAGCAACTGGGTCCTTTTATTTTCTTCAGCGTGTCCTCTAGCTCTGTGCAGAGCCCCCTCTCCCACAGAACAGACCAAGCACACCTGCCATGCCAGCCCTTGCTTCCCTTCTGCTGTCATTAGAGAACTTGGCTCAACTTTTTCTCCAAAAAGATTGCAGCCACTTTAGATAACTGAGACGCCACAAGTGTTTTCAATATTTCCCAAGAGACTCGAGTACCTAATGAGTTTCAGTGAAAATGACACAGCTTATTTCCAGAAAGAAACTCGAGAGTGGTCTGTTGATGGAAGACCCAGTCTCAAGAGATGACAGCCCCAGACACTGTCCTTAGGGCGCCTGGTCCCTGGGGGGTGGGGAGGAAACCACTGTAGGGCAGCAGCAGGTGACAGAGGCCACAGAACACACCAACCACACCTGCCCCACGGAGCGTGGGTTTCCTGGGGAGTCAGTTAAACAGGGCTTTAGGAAAAACACAAAAACATGCACAGGAAGAGCATGAAACAAACAGGGAAGCCATAGACTTGTATCAGGCTCCCCTGCAGCCACCTCTCGCCAGTTTCCTACTGCTTACTGAGTTCTGGTTTTCTCTTGGCAAGTCTCCCGGTGAGCCAAAGAGAAGGCTGAGAAATGGTAACTTAGCACAGTAACCTACCCACAGATCACAGTAGCAAAACCAGGCCTCAGTCTCCCTCCTTATCCCCTCCCTGCTATGTCCTGGACCGGCTAGCCATCACTTCGATCCAGTCTACCTGCATTAAGTTCATCGCTGTTGTCTCTGCTGCCACTCCCCCAAAAGCATGTCTTACAGCTGCCAGAACTGTGTTTTTGAACTGTGGTGTGGGAGAAGACTCGAGAGTCCCTTGGACTGCAAGGAGATCAAACCAGTCAATCCTAAAGGAAATCAGTCCTGAATATTCATTGGAAGGACTGATGGCTGAAGCTGAAACTCCAGTACTTTGGCCACCTGGTGCAAAGAACTGACTCATTGGAAAAGACCCGAATGCTGGGAAAGATTGAAGGCAGGAAGAGAAGGGGACGACAGAGGATGTGATGGTTGGATGGCATCACTGATTCAATGGACATGAGTTTAAGCAAGCTCCAGGAGCTGGTGATGGACAGGGAAGCCTGGTGTGCTGCAGTCCATGGTTGCAAAGAGTCGGATACGACTGAGGGACTGACCTGAACTGACAGCTGCCGTAGCAGGCAAAACTGGCAGGGGACCAGCTCTCACAGTCCAAGAAGCCAGTACAAACCTCAGAGAGTGCTGAGAAGAAATTAAAGCAGTGTGATGGAATATAGTGACCCGGAAGGCTGTCTTAGCCAACAGTAGTTTAGAAGGACCTCCCTGAAAAACAACACCTGAGCAAGAACTGAACAAAGTAAGGATCCAAACCACATAAAGGTCTGGAGGAGGGGGAGACTTCCCTGGTGGTTCAGTGATTAAGAATCCACCTGCCAATGCAGGGGACATGGGTTCCATTCCTGGCCCCGGGACGATTCCACCTGGCGTGGGGCAGTTACACCCATATGCCTAGAGCCTGTGACCCACAACAAGAGAAGTCACTGCAATGAGAAGCCCGAGCACCACAACTAGAGAGTGGCCCCTGCTCACCGCAACCAGAGAAAGCAAGCGAGCAGCAAGGAAGACCCAGTGCAGCCAGAAATAAACTTTTTATTAAAGATCTGGGGAGCAGGAGGGGGGCGAGGAGCGGAGAGCATGGTCTGGGCCAGAGGGAACAGTTGAGTGCAGAGCTCCTGACAGAGGACAGGAGGTGTGCGGTGTGGCTGGAGTGTAAAGAACAAGGAGGAAAGTGGTAGGTAGTGAAGCAGGAGCAAAAGCGTGAGGAAGGTCATGTACAAGATCCACAGTGAAATTTCTGGGAAAGATCTTGGGTTTTATTGTAAGCACTGCGGAGATCCCATAGAGGATTTAGCAGAGGCAGTAAAAGAATTTACATTGTTTGAAAGGTCACTACTGCTGATGCTTAGATGATGTTTTATGGAAGGGCAAGAATGGAAACAAGAAAGCAGCTCACAAACTCTTGCATTAGTCAGTAAGGGAGTACAGCTGAGACTAGGGTGGAGGCCTTGAGGTGCCTGAAGGCCCAGATGGATTGCAGGCATGGAAAATGGCTTTCAGGTGTGGGAGATACGCTGGCTGCGCGAGAGGACGCCGGGGGAGGGGGGAGAGTGGGGGCAGATTGGTGGCGCAATTTACCGAGAAGGGCGCAAAGCCAGCAGTTCGGTTTTGACTTACGCGTTTCAGAGGCGCTGTGGACCTGATTGCCCCTTTGCCCACAGCGCTCCCAGTGCGCCCAATTCCTCGGCGCTCCACTGCGGGAGCTAACCCCCAACTTCCCACCGCAAGGACGGGGCCGTTCTGCTCCCCACTCCACTGCACTTACTGTGAATCCAATTCAGTACCTGCTAAACATAAGCCTCCCTCCATCTGTGAGCTCCCAAGACTGGTCCCGAACTGACACGAGCTTCGGTGAATGCACTCCCTACCCTCAAGTGGGTGCTGAGCCCTAAGGGTCTGAAAATTGCTTCTGGGATCCTCACTGGTCTCGTTGACCTGGTATGCTTCGATGAATGAAAGGATCAAGGGCTGGTTCATTCTCCACACGACAGTCCGTAAAGGACGGTTGTGGGGGCGCAAAGTCCCGCGGGGTCGCCAGAGCAGGGACCAGAGCCTCGCGGTGGGCACCCCTCTCAGGCTCGGAGCACAGTGAGCAGCGCTGCGCGACGGGGAGTCCGGAGCAAGCGACCCCGGGCTGCCCTCGGCCAAACCCCAGCTCCGGCCATTCGGCATTTTTGTCCCAGAGGGGCGAACAGAAGCCAAGAGGTATCAGGAGAGCCCCCACCCCTGGCCCCGAAGGTTCACTGCGGGCAGGAAGCGGCTCCCGCCGGGCAGGGCGACCACGACCCCAGTGCAGCCAGGTCGGCACATGGCCCGTCCTGGGCAGGGGCCCGGCACCCCTCTGCTCACCCTGGGATAGGCCCCTCCCCTCAGAGGGGCTCCCGGCGCCCTAGACCCGACACCCGACCGCCCGCCCCTCGCCGCCCTACCTGAGCCGTGACGCCGTCGGCTCAGGCGAGGAGCTCGCGCAGCGGCGCCAGGTGAGCACGGTTCGCTCTTCTGGGCTCGGGCGGAGGGCGGGGCTCCGCGGCGCCCCCGAGCGCTGGCCACGCCCGCGCACCGCCGCCGCCTCGGCCGCGGAGGTCGGGCTCGGGGGCGGGGCTTCTGGAGGACGGGGCCCCTCCCACCCCACGCACCTGCGGGCCAAGAGGTCCTCCCCGGCTCTCCCTGGCTGTACCCGGCCAGGCACCCGCTTCCTCCGGCCAGTTCCCGGCTCCTCCCTGGCCAGCCCCACCCCAGCTCCCCCGGCCAGCAACCCCCTTCTCCCCTCCCCGAAGCCAACCCCTACCCGCAACGCCGTTCCTCCCTGGTCAGCTCCCCCCAACCCGGTGCAAGCCTCCTGCTCCTCCCTAGCCAGGCATTCCCCGCTCCTTCTGGCCAGCACCCCGCTCCCCGGACGCACGGCGGCAGCCGGACAGACCGGTGTCAGAACCAGACAGGCCGGAGAGTCGCGGGGTCAGAACTGGACCGGCCGGACATCAACGGTGTCAGAACCACCTTTAATCCCGCCCTACATGACGAGCCCCCGGAGCGCCTCCTCCGTCGAGCGCCACTGGATCAGCTGGATCTGGATCTCCACCGTCAGGGGCTCGGGCTGATAGTCACTTTCGTACACTGAAACCAAAGATTTTATTTCTGAGGGAATATGAAAATGTGAATCTGGAGCGATGAGCGGGTTGGCGGTGCACGGCCGACCCGGGCGACTCCGTCCCCAAAATGCAAACCTGATCTGGGTCCCCAGGCCAGCACGGTTTCAGAATCGCCCTAGGGTCTTAACCGTAATAAGGCATAAATCACATCTAATCAAGTCATTCAACAAGCTTCAATTTGAGTTACAAGATGAACTAGCTGCTTTTTCTTGGGACATCTTTTTCACTTGAAAGAAGGCTGACAAAATACGGTTATTTCTGCACTTCTTTGGTGGGCCCAGTGGCTAGGACCCCACACTCCCAATGCAAGGGGCCAGGTCCATTCCTGGTCAGAGAACTAAATCCCACATGACCTGGGGCAGCCAAATAAATATATTTTTTTTTTTAATGGTTATTTCAACGTGAATATTCGGCAAATATTTTCTAAAAACGAATGAAGCAAGCCTGGCACTCCAGGCAAAACATCTGAAAGCATTTGGATAAATACATTTATAACATTTGCACTTTCAAATAGAACTTTGTAACATTGTATCTGCCGCCATGAACTTAACAGTTTTCCAATACTGGAAGACTTTCCAATGATAGGTTTGATGATAAAGAAGGTGATTTGGAGATAATATAGAAATAAAGAAAGAAAGAAAGAAATATGTGAACAGTTGGAAAATATGTGTAACTCAGTGAACCAGTATTTTACAAAAAACAATGACCAGATGTTAGCAATTGTTCATGCATAAGACAGATGTTCAAAATGCAGTGTTTTTTGTTTTTTTTTTAAAAAGGCAATGTAGACGAATGAATTTAACATAACTTATTATGAAAAACTTCTTCCATATAGATTGTTTCCATGTTGTAAGAATCTTCTTTTAAAAACTACTGGTTGTCAAGCCTGATGTAATGTCAAAGAATATCCACAATTATTTAAAAGTCTATTAAGGTATTTCCCTCTTTTCCAGTTGCATGTCCATGTGAGAATAGATTTTCTTCATACACTTTAACTACAGCAAACATCACAGAGACTGACTGCAGAAGCACCTCTGCATATGTGGCTTTCTCAGTTAAGCCAGAGATTAAAGAAATTAGCAAAAATGTAAAAAGTAAAAGCTTTCTTTAAGCTCATTTTAATCCGAGGGCTTAATGATAAAATTGCTTAAAATCAGTGATAAAGAGAAAACTTTTAAAGCTTAAAGAGAGAGAAAAAGAAGGACACATTATATACAGAGGAACAAAGAATAAAGATGACAGATTTATCATCAGAAAAAAAAATGCAAGCCAGAGGACAGCAGGAGAACAGTGGACATTTAAACACTCAAACTTAAAAACTATCGGTTTAAATTCCTCTCTTTCCTCCCCACTCTCCTTTGGGGGCTCCAACTCTGTGAATGTGATTTCCTTTGAATTTATAAGTCACTGATCACTAATGCTCTGTTCATTTTTTTTTCCAGCCATTTTTCTCTCTGAGTTTAACTCTGGATAGTTTCTACTGCTTCAAGTTCGTTTCCTCAGTTTTCCTTCTGCATTGTCTAATCTGCCATTAATCCCAGAGTACATTTTTCAAGTGATACTGCGATTTTCATCTCTAAAATTCTGATTTATCTTCCATGTCACTATGTAACATGGTCAATCTTTCCTCTAGCTTCTTGGTTATATGGAATATAATGACAAAGACAGCTTTAATGTCCTTATCTATGAATTCTATCATATATGTCATTGCTGAGTCAATTACAATTGATTCAATTTCATTATATACTGAATTATCTTGCTTTTTTACATGCCTGGTAATTTCTCACTGGGTGGCAGACATTGTGAACTTACCTTGAGTGGCTGGCTACCTCACCTTGGCTTGGCTATTTCTGTATTCTTATCAATATCCTTGGGTTTTGTTTTAGGACACAGTTAAATCTGACCCTTTCAGGTCTTGCTTTCCCTTCCTGCTCAGAATCTGTAGTGTTTCCCAGGGTACTGGGCTCAACCCTTTACTCTTCTATCAACAAACTCATATTTTCATGGCTTTAAACACCATCTATAAGCTGATTCGTTCATTCCATCGATGTGCTGGGAGCTGGAGATTGTGTGGCTTTAGAGAATACAAGCATAGCTCCTGCCCTACGAGAGCTTACTCATGTGCACATACGTATGTGTGTGTGTGTTAGTCGCTCAGTCGTGTCTGACTCTTTGCGACCCCATGGACTCTTTGCGTCCACCAGGCTCCTCTATCCATGGGTTATCCAGGCAAGAATATGGGAGTGAGTTGCCATGCCCTGCTCCAGGGAATCTTCCTAACCTAGGGATCGAACCCAGGTCTCCCACATTGCAGGCAGATCCTTTACCATCTGATCCACCAGGGAAGCCCAAGATCTCACATGCTGCGGGGAAACTCAGCCCGTGTGCTGCAACTACTGAGCCCGCACTCTAGAACCCATGCACACCGCAGTGAGAAGCCCTTGCACTGCAACCAGAGTAGCCCCCACGCGCCACCATTGGAGAAAGCCTGCCTGCAGCAATGAAGGCCCAGTGCAGCCATACATAAATACGTTTTTAAAATTAAGCACCTACACGATTCACATCTATGTAGGTATCATTGTGATACCTGTGATCGCTGTGATTTCCTGTAAAGGAAAACAGGACGCTGTGAAGAAGACAAAGGACCTAACCCCAACCAGATGATCAGCTTCCCTGAAGAAGGGCCACTGAAGCTGACTGACCCAAGAAGCAGCCGCGGAGTGATTGGGAAGTGTAAAGTAAGTACTCTGAGTAGACTTCCCCCGTGCAGGCTAAGGAAACTGCAGTCGTTCTGAGTGAAGACCGCTAGGTGGTCTGACCAGGGCAGAGAAGATGGAGTCAAAGAACAGGAGGCAACTCAGCAGCACTGTCGACCACGGGAACTCTGGATGCACCACTCGATTCAGCTTCTCAACTTCACGTCCCCAAAGTTGAGCTCATCTTCCCCCCGGGGGCCCCAATCTCTGCCAGGCAGAAGTCCCACCTACACCTGCTCCCAGTCACCAGGTCGGCCTGTTTCGTCTTCCTCATGGCTCTCTGCTCCGTCTTCTCCACACCATCCCCACCACACATTCCTAAGCCCAGGCTCCGATTCTTGCCTTAAGTGCTTTTTTTTTTTTAAGGTGACTTTTTTTTCCAGCAAGGGAAAATTCTCATAAAATTCAAAACATTTAAACCATTTAAAAGCATACAGTTCGGTGACTTTTAGTAAATTTACAATGTTGTGCATCCATCACCACTAATTCCAGAACATTTTCATCACCCCAAATGGAAACCCATTAAGCAGTCACACCCCTTTCCCCTCCCCCACTTCCAGGCAACCACTGATCTACTCTCTGTCTCTATGGATTTGACTAATCTCAACATTTCATATAAAGTGGAATCATACACTATGCAGTCTTTGGTGTCTGACTTTTTCCCTTAGCACTGAGTTTTCAAGCTTTACCCATGGAGTTGGGTGTGTCAGGGCTTCATTCCTTTTCATGATGGAATAATTCCCCATTGTGTGGGGACTTCTTGGTGGTCCAGTGGCTAAGCTGAGTCTGAGCTCTCAATGCAGGGGGCCCGGGTTCAATCCCTGGTCAGGGAACTAGATCCCACATGCCACAACTAAAAGGTCTCAAGTCCCACAGCTAAAGACCATGCATGCTGCAACTGAAGAATTGGCCTGCTACAACTAAGACCTAGCACAGCAAATAATTTTTTTCTTTAAAAAATCCCATGTATGGGTAGATCACATTTTGCTTATCCGGTTCATTCACTGATGGTCATCTGGGCTGTTTCCACATTGCCTGCTGCTAACAGCACTGCTGTGATCTTACCTTAGACTTTTGCAGCAGTCTCCCAACTGAGCAATGTCTTCCATCTCTCCCCGTAAGCCAAACAGTTCTAAAAATTAAATCTAAAACTTACCTATTTCAATGCTGCCACTGCCCACACAACAAGCCCAAGATTCTCATACAGCAAAGAAGCGCTAATGCCCTGCAGGAGCTTTCCGGGTGGGGCTCACATGGTAAAAGAACCTGCCTGCCAATGCAGGAGACATAAGACACAAGTTCGATCCCTGGGTGGGGAAGATCCCTTGGAGGAGGGTTAAGTATTCTTGCCTGGAGAATCCCCATGGACAGAGGAGCCTGGCGGGCCATAGTCCATGGGGTCACAAAGAGTCAGACATGACTGAGCAACTGAGCATGCCCTGCAGGAGCAAGACTACTGCTGAGCTAGAAGGACACCGGGCACCCCGAAGCCGAGCCTCCCCCACCTACTCCATCCTGGCCCCACCCCAGGATGCCTGTCCCGCCCAGGTCCTGACCACCGCAGGCCCCTGTGCACAGGGCCACAGGGGAGACTCAGGGTTTGGTCCTCAGAGCAGGCATGGCCCTCCCATTGGCTGGAAGATAGGATTCTCCATCTTTCCTCCCTTCAGTCGCCAGTCAGACTGACCCCTCAGGGAGTCCTGCTATATTTGTGCCCTTCCCCCAATTCCTGCACGGAAATCCCAACCCCCCAATGGTGGCGGCCCTGGCCCCTCTCACCAGGTGAGGACCCAGGGAGAAGGTGCCAACCAGGAAGAGGACTGTCACCTGGTGCTGCTGGCATCTTGGTCTTGGACTTCACCTCCAGAGCAGCTGAAAATCAACATCTGCTGTTTATTCGCCACCCGCCCTGGGGCAACTTACAGCAACCCTAACGGACCAGGGCTGGTCCCCGGTAAACCCTCCCTGCCCTCTGCCCCTCAGCACCTACCTTTTTTACCTTTCTTATTCTTCTTTGCATCCTGAGAGAGAGAACCACAGAATAAGTTCCTCACTGGAGTGGGGGGGTACCAGAGGAGGGGTGGGTACAGACCCTGGTGGGTGAGAGCTCCCTGGCTCTTAGACCAGAGAGGTGAGGCAGGGTCTCCTCCAGAGGAGCTGCCCGGCCTGCCCACTTGCCTGGCCCCTCGAACTCAGGTGACCCTTGTTGCATGCCCCCACCCCCGCCCTCTTGAGGTTCTGCTCCCCCTTCCCCATCCCACCTCCCTCCCCCTCCCCCCCCCCATAACCAGGCATTTGTGGGCGGGGGAGGGGTGTGTGTGTTGTTGGGGGGCGCCGTTATACCCTGTTAAGTGTCAGCCGGTCAGCTTCCAAGGTCCGGATCACCCCAAAGTTGCACACGGTCGACACGAACGGCTCCCCCGCCAGCAGGGGCTCTAGGACCACTGGGCTGCTGCCCAGCACCCGCAGGACGGGCAGGTCCTGGTGCAGCTCCTTGGGAAGCTCCTTCTGCTTCTTGCTCCCTTTTTGCGCCTGTGGAGAGAGGCCAGGTGGGTGGACAGGGAGGGCAGGAGCCAGGAGCAGCCTCCCCCCATCCAGGCCGCCGCTCCCACCTGGAGGTACCTTGGGGGGCTCCTTCTCCCCTTTGCCTGCCTTGTCTTTGCCCTTCTTGTCTTTCTTGTCTTTCTCCTTCTCCTTCTTGTCCTTCTCTGCTTTGCCCTTCTTAGCAGCCAAGGGACTGTCTGCGGAAGATGGCTGCTCCACAGGCCAGGAGAGAATCTAGCGGGTGGAGGCGGGGAGGGGGCTAGCCAGGATCTTTCTGGAAAAGCACAGAGACCCTGCCAATGCGGGAGCAGGGCTACAGATGCCCGACAGAAAAGCAGAGCACGGGAGACAGGGGCAGCGTATGAACCCTGGGGAGCACGGGCGCCCACCTTCTCCTCCACGACGGTGACCACGGTCCCCGAGAGCAGGAAGGCCTTGAGTGGCACCAGGTCCTTCAGCGTGTGCTGCATCTCGTAGTTGCAGGGGATGACGTCAGACCAGGGCTTGGGGACCGTGCTGAAGAGCACTGTCCTTGGGAGGAGAAAGGCCATATGGTGGGGGGCTGTGCCATCCGGGGAGGGCTTTGAGAAGATCAGCAATATGTGGGTACAGCCAGGGACAGAAGGCCAGGAGGGATGGGGGCACAACACCTGGTGTGGTCTGGGCCCGGCCCCCAGCCACGTGAGCATCCTTACCCTGGGGTTGGGCAGAGCTGGGGATCCAGGAGCGGCCGCAGCTTTGCCAGCTCTTCTGCAGAGTCTATGGACCGTGGCAACGGCTCGGAAGCGCCAGAGACAATGGACTCCTCCAGCTCCCCCGACTCGGACAGGGAGGCCAGCCCAGATTCCAAGGACTCTTCTATGTCTTCGATGATTTCTTCCAGAATGTCCTCATCCAACTGTTCCATGCTGGGAGGCTTGATGATCTGTCAAAGACGTGAAAATACATTCAAGACTGCCAGCCTCAGAGCTCACGCCCAACACGACGTGCACAGCGTGTGAACGGGCACCTGTGCTTGACGGACGTGAAGCAAAGAAACACACGGACTTAGAGGGCAGGGAGTTAAAAACCAACCAACCAAACAAACAAACAAACAAAACACCTCGTCTTGATTCTTCGGAAAGTTCTATGTTAAGAGTAAAGACAGGGACTTCCCTGGACGTTCAGTGGCTAAGACTCCGAGCTCCCAACGCAGAGGGCCTGGGTTCAATCCCTGGTCAGGGAACTAGATCCCACATGCCACAACTAAAGATCCTGCATGCCAGAACAAAGATGGAAGATCCAACATTCTGCAACTAAGACCCGGCACAGACAAATAAATAAATGAATAATAATAGTAAAGAGTCAAAATAGTAACAATTTCTTCACAAGTTAGGAAACCCTCACATTTCTCCTAGTCAGACGACACTGTTGGGTTTTCTTGTGACGGGAAGGGAGAGGGGAGGTATGGGGGGAGTTGGAGAACAGGGTTGGGAGGCTAGCAGCCTAGTCCTAAGAATCTGGGCTGCTCCCTTGTTAGGGCCTTTGCTTTCGTTTCAAGGGGGATTAGGAAGGGGTGAGCATGACTGAGAATTACTCCAGCTTCAAGGGGCTTCCCAGGTGGTGCTAGTGGTAAGCAACCCACTTGCCAATACAGGAGACGTAAGAGATGTGGGTTTGATCCCTGGGTCGGGAAGATCCCCTGGAGGAGGAGATGGCAACCCACTCCAGTATTCTTGCCTGGACAAGCCCAAGGACAGAGGAGCCCGGAGGCTACGGTCCAGGGGATCACGACTGGAGTGACTGACCACACCAGCAACACCAGCTTCAGGAAAGCGGCTGAGCAGAAGCTGCCTTCCTGTTCAGAGGAGGGTACGAATTGGAGAGATCCATGTTAAGGGGCTTCCTGGACCCCTACAGCCATCCTGTCTGCACAGGGGACTGAGAACCCGAGAGCAGAGCTGCCCCAGGCACCCACCTCGGCCAGGACACCGCCGTGTTGACTTCCTTCACCTTCTTCATCTTCCACAAAATCGTATGTCACATAGTAGTTGTAAGTGATGAAAGGGCCTTGGGGCCCTGGTTCTGGGTCCAAGACCGAGGAGTCCAGCACCCCTCGGAGGTTGCCAACAGTCACCAGTAACTGTGCCTCGGGCGCCAGGAGATCTGCAGGAGGGAACGGGCAGGGGTGAGGGGAACCGAGGGATGAGATGAACAGACAGGGCAATGAGGGCGGGTGAGCACGCCTCCTGCCTCCTGCCTCCTGCTCTGAGCCGGGCTGAGCCTCGCTTTGCAGACTTGGGTTCATGCCCCAGCACTGCCAAGTTCAACACGCAGGGAATTGGGGTAAGTCTCAGGGGCTTCCCTGGTGGCTCGGATAGTAAAGAATCTGCCTGCAGTGCGGGAGACCTGGGTTCGATCCCTGGGTCGGGAAGATCCCCTGGAGAAGGGAATGGCTACCCACTTGAATATCCTTGCCTGGAGAAGTCCAAGGACAGATTTACAGTCCATGGGGTCACAAACAGTCAAGACACGACTGAGTGACTAACACTTTCACTTTCCTTTGGGCAAGACGCCCCTCTTCAGCCTTGTTTTCCTGATCTGTATAATGGAAACGGCAGGAGGTGCTTTGCAGGATGCTTGCAGATGGAGGCTACGTGACTTTAGCCGGTGCCTGACACGCAGGAGGCAGAGCTATTACTAGCCATGTTTCATCACCCTGACCTTGAGAAGACTCTGGTACAGCCACAAGGGGGTGATCTCAAGCCACCAGCAAGCCAAGAAGCTGATGTAAAGAATGCTTCCCATTTGTCTCAGAAGGAAGGGAGGGGACCGTGATGGTCCCGACCCCCTACCGTTTGTCCCCAAATCTCAATCACGTGGATCAAAATCTGGGAGAGAACTCTGCCCAAGAAAGTGAGTTACACCTGACCGGGGTCTGAGTCAGCTGAGGAGCTGGGTGACACACAAGACATGTGTACCCAGTCGGGTGGTGGGTGGGCCGGGGGGGCCCCCCTTGACAATTCCCCCATGCCCTGCACCTTGGCCCCCTCACCCTCGCTGTGGCTGAGCCCCCGGAAGAGATGCTTCTCGCTGGATGACACGGTGATGTCGTCCAGCACACAGAGCCTGGCCAGGCTGTCGATGGTGAGGCCCCGGTAGTGGGGCACCAGGGCCAGGGGATTGCCCTGGAGAAGCAGCAGCCTGAGGTGCGGGAGTGTCTGCAGGCCGGCCACCATGCTCTGCAGGTCCGTCAGGTTGTTGAAGCTCAGGTCCAGGGAGACGAGGTTGGGCCTGAAAGGTGAGCGGCACGGCCCAGGAGCACGAGGCCAGATGAGCAGAGGGGTGGGGACGGGCAGCTGTGGTCTTGGCACTGCGCCTGCATCTGCCAGCACCCCCAGCAGCCTGAGTCCCGGCTGGACAAGGCCCGGTGCTGAGGGCGGGATGGGAGACTGTGGCCCACCCTGACACCCAGGCCTCGGGCTGCTCTCGACCTGAGTTAGCTCCCTGTCCGGATGGAGCCCCCGGCTCCCCCGACCCCCTCGCTCTTGCTGTGCACAGAGGTGGCTGTCACATCCTGCCTCCACTCAACTTGTATGTGTATAGACCTCTTCTCAGCTAACCATCTGGCTATCTCCTATACATCTAGAAGCTTCTCAGCAGAGATGGACAGACCGGTGAGGAAGGTGAAGGCAGGCCTCTGTACGGAGGAGCTGTGGGGATGGGGTAGGAGAGTCCGACAAACAGGGGGGCCTGGGAAGAGGGGGTGTGAGGCTCGAAGGGTCTAGAAGCTAGAAGAAGTACCCCAGAATCAGACCAGGCCACGACCAAGGGGAAGCTGTGGCCTGGTTCGTTCCTTTTATTTTTTTATATTGACACATTTATTTGACTGCGCCAGGTCTCGGTCGTGCATGCGGAATCTAGTTTCCTGACGAGGAATCAAACCCAGGGCCCCTGCTTTGGAAGCGTGGAGTCTTAGCCAGTGGACTGCCAGGGAAGTCCCTGGTTTGTTTCTTGGGGCACGTGGGTGAAGAAGAACCAGCCGCTAGGGACAGAGGAGGCGCCCCGCACCTTCCACCTGGTGGCAGGCCTCCCTACTGTGCAAACCAGAAAGTGAACGGATTCCAGCTCTGGAGTAGGGGCAATAGCAACAGCTCACAAGGGGACACCTCATCAGCACAATCCCGCCGTCACACGTGACCATCTCCCAGCCGCACCTGCCCTTCTTCCCTCCTCTCATCCTGTCCTGATGTTGACCAGCCAGTCACAGAAATATCCGAGAAGAATACTTCGTTTGGACTGGCACACAGATTTTACACAATACCAGCCTCCTTCAGGAGAACTGGTGAAAGCATCAGAAAGATGGATTCACAGGACATGTGCCCTCCTTTTAAATTCAAAACAACAGAAGATGGAGCTTTCACACATACATGTTTCTATGAAGTCCACACTCAGCATCAATCAGGTGACGTTATCTTAAGCCCGTTTTCCAAATCAAAGACCAGAACACTTAAGGGACGTCCCTGGAGGTCCAGTGGTTAAGACTCCGCGCTTCCACGGCACGGGTTTGGTCCCTGGTTGGGGAACTAAGATCCTATATGCCGTGTGGCCAAAGATTTTAAATGAATAAATTTACAAAAAATAACCAGAACGCTTAGAACTCTGGCAGAGTTCTGAACTCAGCTGTCACACACAGCCCAAATTGTGTGTTCTCTTTCTACGCTTCGCAGCTTCCCTGACGATGGAGGTCAGTGGAAGTCAGGGATATGGAATCATGCATGGTCAAGGCTGTGCAGAGGCAGCTTTGCCAAGATAGAGAAAGAAGAGGAAGGAGGAAATTAGGGTCAGAGACAGGCCTTCCACGAGCACGTTCCCAGGCCACCTGGGAAAGCTGTCCTGCTCCTTGAGGCCTTCCTGGGCTGTGAGGAAAGATCTTTCGTGAACCTCAGCCCAGGGAGGTCTTCCCCAGGATTCTGAGTCCTGGGAATCCTCATAAAGGCTTTGACAGGTCTCTCTGGCCCTGCTTCCTCTGAGGGAGGTTTTTTGTTTTTTTTTTTTTTAAATGTGGATCATTTTTAAAGTCTTTATTGAATATGTTACAATGTTGTTTCTGTTTTATGTTTTAGGGGTTATCGGCCCCAAGGCATGTGGAATCCCCGACCAGGGATCGAACCTGCAATGCCCTGCATTGGAAGGCAAAGTCCTAACTGCTGGACTGCCGGGGAAGGCCCTCCTCTGATAGGCTTTCACGGGTGGTCTCGGCTGCCCTCAGACGTCTCAGATTGCCTACTGCTCATCCACCAAGGAGACAAAGTCAAAGCAGACTTGTCTGTAGGGCAGTGGTTCTCAGGTGGGGGTGGCTTTTCCCCCTAGTGGCCATGTGGTACTTTGGGTCACCACAGCGGGCCTGGGGTGGACGCTCCTGGCCTCTGATGGGCGGAGGCCAGGGAGCTGCAGGATGGCCCTCAGAACCAAGAATTCACTGGCCCGAACGGCAACAGGAATCCTGAATTGGAAGCACGTCCTCAAAGCAAAAGGTCCACTCACTCTCATCGGCTCTTGGTGCCCTTCCCTGGGCCTCAGTGGGATTTTTTGTTTATGGGGTCAGAGGAAAAAACCCTAGGTCTGAACTTAGCAGCCAACCAGGAGTTATTATAGAAAAGAGCAAAGCTGAGTTCTCCAAGCCCCCAGCTTAGAGGGGCCCATGTGGCGCGCTCAATCCCCTCCCCCCTCTTCCCACGGGGAGCTCCCAAGTTACCAGTGGTCGCTGGTGACGTACAGACTCTCCAGGGGCCCCAGGAGTTTGTTGTGGCCCAGCCCCAAGTGCTGGAGCTGCGGGGGCGGGTGACGACACAGACACCGCATGCTGGTTATCTTGTTGCCATACAGCTCCAGGACCTGAGACAAGCGGACAGACAGCCCGTGAGCCCGGGGAGATCAGAGTCCACCCCCTCCCTCGGCCCTGGGCAACTTAGGAGGGGAGCTGCGAAGTACTCAAGCCTTATCTCTCTGGGCCCACCTGGACTCCCTTCTAAGGATCTGGGAAGAGGGACTTCCCTGGTGGTCCAGTGGCTAAGACTCCACGCTCTCAGTGCAGGGGGTCCAGGTTCAATTCCTGGTCAGGGAACTAGATCCCATAGGCTGCTACTAAGACCCAGTGCAGCCAAGTACATAAATATTTAAAAATAAAGTAAAAATATAATAATAAAGTAAATACAGCCTTTGGGTTGGTGAACACTGGCGTACAGGAATCTAAGTCCCTGCCTTCGAGGCTTTGGGGTGTGTACCTAGGAAGGGAATTTCTGGGCCACGTGGAAATCCTGTGTTTCACTTTTTAAGGGATCTGGCCAACCTTTCAAAAGCCTTGGACCCACCCTTAGCACACAGACATGATAGTCAAACCTCTTGGGGAGTGGGCAAGGGAGGGGCAGGGTCTCTGGGCAGCTCTGGCTCCAAGACCCAGAATGGAACCTGGGCTCCTTTACTTTGAGAGTTGGGGGCAGGTTGGTGGTGTCAATCTCCTTGATTTGATTAGCACTCAGCACCAACTCTTTAAGCTTCACAAATTTCAGGAGCTCTTTGTCCACCAGGCTCACCTGGAAGGGAGGAAAGGGAGATCGGAGCTGCAGTGGCCAGGGCGGCCCTGGCGTCTACTGGAGGACCGCAATGGTGCATCCAGCCCCAGAGGGTGACTGCCCCACACCCTGACCCCGTTCCTCTCTTTGTGTCTTCCCTACAGCCTTCTGCCAGGGCCTGCAGCGGCCTCCCACCTCTCAAGCCTCACCCCTCCTCTGACACCCTTCCAACTTCGCTGTCTTGTGTCCCCTGGGGGACTGTCAGCTCCCGAGGGCAGGAATCAGAGCCATGGTGAACCCTGTGGTCTTAAGGGACCACTCTAGTTTCCATCCCGCAGAGTCAGGCCAGAAATTTCAGGGGCCTGTCTATGAATCCTCAGTTGACTTTGGCTCCAAGGACATTACGGGCCATCCTGGCTGGGCCTCCCTTCTCTGCGGTGACAAACTGGGTCAGTTTGCCAGGCTTGGTAGTCCTGCTCTGTGGACAAGCTGGTGAGATTAATCAGGAGGAGGGCAGAGCTAGGTCTTACCACCTGGTCCCGTAAGACAAATGGCTCCCCTCTCATCAGCCCTGTACCTGAGGCTCACTCCCAGCACTCACATCCTTGTCCACCACCCGGAGCGACCTGAAGTAGGTGTAGAAGAAGCTGTCTTTGAGCATCAGTGGATTCTGGATGGCCAGCTCTTTCAGGAAAAGGTCCTCTGCGCTTGAGCCCTCCACCAGAGCCCAGGGTGAGTGGGCGCTGCGGACTAGGCCCAGCAGATCCTCCACCGTCTCCTCCCCAGGGCTCAGGGCCCTCTCCTCTCTGGGGATCAGCTTCCGCCATGCTCGGCTAGTTTGAGGAAGAAATCGTGACTTATTCTGCAGTAGGGGTGGGGGTGGGGGGGAGGAACAGAATTTCTTTCTTTATGACTCAACCTCTCTCAAGGATTCAAAACTCTCAAAATGGAATAGACAGGACGATCAGGGTGAGCTTAGAAGCCAGGAGGTGTAAAAGGCGATTTGTGGGAGGTAATTAGCCAAGGAAAGGTTTCTGAAGCAGAGGTGGCAAAGGCTGAACATCTGGCCCTTTAGATGCCGTAAGTGGAAGATGAAAGATTTTGGTCCTTGAGTTTACTGTTTTCCACCCCTTCGTCTTGAGAGATGTCTGCCTATGAAACCCCAAAGCACAGCACAATGCAGGCACAATGTAGGGGCCCAGTCAATGTTTGTTCATGAAACAAGTTAATTAGTTCCTTGATTAACATCTCGGTTTTCTCTTCTGTGAAAATGGGGACCAGCCTGACAAGGGAATGTGGGGTCCCAGCTTCGCACTAGTCAATCCTAAAGGAAAACGGCCCTGAATATTCATTGGAAGGACTGATGCTGAAACTGAAGCTCCAATACTTTGGTCACCTGATGCAAAGAGCCGACTCACTGGAAAAGACCCTGATGCTGGGAAAGACTGAGGGCAGGAGAAGAAGGGGACGACAGGATGAGATGGTTGGATGGCATCACCGACTTATTGGACTTGAGTGTGATCAAACTCTGGGAGAGAGTGAAGGACAGGGAAGCCTGGCGTGCTGCAGTCCATGGGGTCTCAAAGACTTGGACAGGAACACCAAAAAGTTTCCCACCAAGCCCATGGGAACCATTCAGGACTCAAGACTTCCTGGCACACTTGAGAAGCCCCTGGTTCTGAGGGTCATGCTCCTCCTGCACTTAGCTGGTGAGGACGGCCCCTTTGGCCACATCGCAGCAGGGTCCTAACTGTAAACCTGCTCTCAGGACGATATTTCACCCCTAAAGGAGGCTGGTGTCTTTAAGAGAGCCTGCCCCGGGGTCCCTGCCCTCTACCCTAGGTCAGCGCCCACAGACCACAGGCAGGGTCCTAACTGTAAATCTGCTCTCAGGACGATATTTCACCCCTAAAGGAGGCTGGTGTCTTTAAGAGAGCCTGTCCCGGGGTCCCTGCCCTCTACCCTGGGTCAGCGCCCACAGACCACAGGTGGGGGCCTATCTCTTCCACCCCTGCAGCGTCCCTGTTCCCACAGTCCACCCCCATCCCCATCCCTAGGTCAGGACGCTCCCCAAACGCCCAGATCCAAACATCCTCTCCAGGCTTCTCCATATCAACCAACTCCTGGGGCTGGTGGCGCCCTCAGCACCCGGGGCCAGCCCTTCCCCAGCCCCGCTCTGCGTCCCTAGGCCCTGGCCTGGCCCCGGGTCGGTGCCCTCCGTTTCCCAGATCCCCGAGCCCCTCCCCCGGCCGCCCCGCCAAGGGCCCGCACCCAGCTGCCGGTGCCGCACGGGAACTCGTGCAGACACAATTGTCGCAGGTGCTCCCGGACCGCGGCGCTCAAGGTCCGGGTCTCCGGCTCCATGCTCGGGGTCTCCGGCTCCATGCTCGCGAGTTCGCCACGCCGGCTGGTTGCTAGGCAACCCCCGGGACGCCCCAGGCGGCGGAGGCGCGGTTGCGCAGGAGCTCCTGGAACCCACTATTTTCGCCTGCGGACAAAGTTTTCCGGCAGCCAGGAATCAGAGACCCAACTGCGCAGGGTTAGCAATACTCTTCCCACCACCGCCTGGGGGTGATTACTGTGGTGGCTCCGGCAGGTATTGAGCGCTTCCCAGCTGCTAATCTGTTTCTTCTCTGGAGCACCCTCGGAATAAAGTATTAATTCTTATCCCCCTTTGGCGGAGCTGGGGAGGAGAAATGAATCCAAGAACGAACAGTCCTCTCTAATCAGTGGATTCCAAGGTGGATCCCTTTAATCCCCGCGTCAGAAGTTTTAATCACTGTCCACCCAGACAACAGATTTAGCACCAGGGCCCCACTTTAGACTGGTCCAATCTCGGCTGGCAATGGACTCCTAGGCACCGGTTTGTGAAATTAACGGGATAAGATGATGGGAGTGGGGGCTTACTTGGTGGTCCAGTGGCTAAGATTCCACAGTCCTAATGCAGGGGGCCTGTGTTCCATCCCTGGCCAGGGAACTAGATCCCATATGCTGCAGCTAACAGTTCACATGCTGCAACTCAAAAGATCCCGCATGCTGCAACTAAGACCTGGTGCAGCCAAATAAATAAAAATAAATATATAAAAAGAGATGGTTCTGGTTCCTATAATTTGAAAATGCAACATCTTGACTGAGATCTAATGTATGTAACTAAAATTCACCCATTTAAAGTGCACAATTCTTAAGTATATTCATAGTGCCACTATATCCATAGTGCAGCTCTCACTGTAATCTAATTTTCAACTTTTTTCTTCATCCCAAAAGGACACACAGCATAATAGTTTTAAGGTTCAGATATGTTGCAGCGTGTCTGTACTTCATTCCTTCTTATGGCTGGATAATATTCTATATATGGGTATAAGGCACTTTTGTTTATCCATTCATCAGTTGAAGGACATCTGAGTTGTTTCTACTTTTTGATTGATGAATAATGCAGCTATGAACATTCATGTACAAGTTTTGTATGAACATAAGTTTTCATTTCTCTTGGGTAGATACTTAGGAATGAAATTTTTGGGTCATATGGTAACTTAACGTTTCACATTTTGAGGACCTGCTAAACTATTTTACACAGAAGCTGTACCATTCATTTTACATTTCTACCAGCAATATATGAGGGTTCCACTTTTTTCATATCCTCACCAACACCAATTATTTTACATTTACAAAAACTATAGCCATCTTAATAGGTATAAAGTAGTATCTCTTTGTGGTTTTTATTTGCATTTTCCTAATGCCTGACAAAGAGATGGGAATACCAGACCACCTGTCCTGCCTCCTGAGAAATCGTTATGCAAGTCAAGAAGCAACAGTTAGAACTGGACATGGAACAACAGACTGGTTCCAAATTAGCAAAAGAGTACAGTTCAGTTCAGTCTGACAAGACTGAGGGACTGAACTGAACTGAACTGAATGCCTGACTGGGCTCCCCTGTTGGATCAGTGGTAAAGAATACGCCTGCTAATGCAGGAGACATGGATTCGATCCCTGAGTTGGGAAGATCCCGTGGAGAAGGAAATGGCAACCCACTCCAGTATCTTGCCTGGAGAATTCCATGGACAGAGGAGACTGGTGGCATACAGTCCATGGGGTCCCAAAAGAATGGGACACGACTGAGTGACTAAATAACAACAACAACAACAATGCCCGACTAATGATGTTGAACATCTTTTCAAGCGCTTATTGGCCATTTGTCTTCTTTGGAGAAATGTCTATTCAAATACCTTGGTCATTTTAAAACTGGGTCTGTTTGTTTTTTATCATTGAGTTGTAAGAGCTTTTATATGTTCTGGATGCTAGCCCCCTGTCTTGTTCATGATTTTCTCCCATTCTGGAGGTTGTCTTTCACTTTCTTGGTAGTGTCCCTTGACAAGCAAAAGGTTTTAATTTTGCTGAGATGTAATTTATCTGTTTTTATTTTCCCCCTTTGGTTGTTTGTGCCTTTGGTGTCATTTTAAGAAACCACTGCCTAATCCATAAAACTGAGTTTTGAGCATTCTTTCTATATTCTGCTCAGAATTCCTTTGTTGGATTTGCATTTGGTTAACATTCTTTTTCCCTAGTTTTGGCTTGTCTTTTCATCCTCTCAACAGGGTTTTTAGAAGAGAATTATATTTTTTTAATTTTGAGGAAGTCCAATTTACTGACTGTGATCCAAAAACACCCACTGTTTTGGACATCTTTCATTCTTTTTGATTGTCCTATTTTAGAACACCTTTACTACTGTTAGAAAAATTTCCCAGAACTTGGAAATAAGACAAAAAGGGAGCCATACATCTTTTAAAAGAATAAAACAAATATCCAAGAATCTACAATGATATAAACACATCAAAGAGATGGACCAGGGAGGATGCCTGGGATTCTAGTGACATGACTGAGTGGCTTTACTTTTTCCCCCATTCCAAAACCACAGTATGGCTTCCCTTTGCCCAACAATTTATTCAACACCCACTAGCAAACTTCCCAGTGACCTCATGTTCTCAAACCTACTGTATATCTCTTCAGCCTTTATCTTATTTGACCTCTCTATGCCTTTTGATGGTGCCAATCATTTCCTCCTTCTTGAAACCACTTCTTATCTTGTCCCATGACCACATGTTTTTCTAGTACATTTCTTTCCCTCTTGAGGATGTCTTCTCGGTGTTTTAGACTAAATCCTCTTCCTGCACCTGTTCCATTAATGGAGATGTGTCCCAGGTCTCCACCCTTGATTCACAACTTACATTGGTCCTCCCTCTTAGACGTCCAGTTTCATCAACACAATATACAGTTCGTACCCAATGTATGTCTCTGGTTCCTTCCTTCAAGCTCCAAGTCCAAATGACCAGTGGCCTTCTGTACACTTCCACCTTACCACATCAAGAAATAAATTCTTTATGTCACCTGAGTCCTGTAATCCTCTCCCAGTATGGACCAACAACATCTATCCAGTTGCCCAAACAAGACACCTGGAAGTCATCCTCAATTCCTCCCTTTCCATTATCCCCAGATCAATCAATCACCTCCTAAAGACTGGATTCTGTCTTCTACAGATTTTGCCAATCCATCCACAGGTCTTCATTGCTGCTCTCACTATCACCCTGGTTCACAGGGTATGAACCTCCGTTCTGGCTATGTTGAATGTGAGGTCCAGGTGGGCCATTCAGGTGGAGATGTCCATCAGGCAGCTGGACATTTAGATAAAAGGAGAGAGACATAAAAGTGTGAGGGACATAGACCAAGCACTGGGCCCTTTGAGGCATATCCACTAAAGAGCAAAGCAGGAAGATGATTCAGCCTCAGAAGGCACTGTGAGAGGCTGATATCCAAAACATATCAGGATAACATTTTCGGAGGGGAAAATGTTCTCAAGAAGAGGAAGTTGTTGACATTATTGCATGCCATGAAAGGATAAAGTCAAATGATAACTGAAAAGAACCCAGTAAGGTTGGCAATATGAGGTCACTAGACACTATATGGGTTCTCACAAAAGTCATAAACTTAACAGCTTAAAACCACAAAGTTTGCTACTGTTCAGTCCCTAAGTCATGTCTGACTCCTTGCAACCCCATGGACTGCAGCACGCCAGGCTTCCCTGTCTTTCACTCTCTCCCAGAGTTTCCTCAAACTCATGTCCATTGAGTCAATGATGCCAGCCAACCATCTCATCCTCTATTGCCCCCGTCTCCTCCTGCCCTCAATCTTTCCCAGCATCAGGGTCTTTTCAGATGAGTCAGCTCTTCACATCAGGTGGCCAAAGTATTGGAGCTTCAGTTTCAGCATCAGTCCTTCCAATGAATATTCAGGGTTGACTCCCTTTAGGGTTGACTGGTTTGATCTCCTTGAGAGAGTCTCCAAGGGACTCTCAAGTCTTCTCCAGTGGCACAGTTCGAAAACATCAATTCTTTGGTACTCAGCCTTTTTTATGGTTGAACTCTCACACTCCGTACAAAAACTATAGCTTTGACTATACAGACCTCTGTTGGCAAAGTGATGTTTCTGCAGGTCAGGAATCCAGTATGGTGTAACTGGATTCTGTTCTCTGCTTGTGGTCTTACCAGACTAAAGTCAAGGTATCAGCTGGGGCTGCAGTTCTCACCTGGGGCCCAGGGGCCTCTTCCCAACTCACTGGTTGTTGGTCAAACTCATTTTCTTCTCATGCTTTCCACCAGGACCCTCCACCTTCAAGCTAGCAATGGAAGTTGGGTCATTCTCATACTTTGAGTCTCTCTTACCTCTATCCTTCCTCTTTAAGTCTCATGTGATGACACTGGGCCCATCTGGTAATCAACTTACCTTAGGGTCAACTGATTAGTAACCTGAATTACATCTGCAAAGTCTCCTCTGCCATGTAATGGAACACCATTGTGGGAGTAAACACCAGAGGGTGTAAGTCATGGGGGCAAAATGTTACCTAGTGTGGACTTTTCTAGACGGTTTTGAATAAATCATTGGAGTGAAAACCATATTGTGAGGTAAAAGTGAGCCTAGATCTCTCTGAAGAAGCTTGGATAAGAGGAGGAAAGAGGGGACTTCCCTGGTGGTCCAGCAGCTAAGACTGTGCTCCCGATGCAGTTGGCCTGGGTGTGATCCCAGCGAACTGGATCCCACATTTTGCAACTAAGACCCAGTGCAGCCAAACAAATAAATAAAACTAAATATTTTTTAAAAGAAGAGGAAAGAGACAGCAATGACTAGAGGGGTACCTGGGCTTAAGGGTGGAAGGGGGTTGCCAACTGTCTCCTCTGGTGTACACTGGGGTCTATGAACCACCCAGATCTGACCTCATCCCTGAGCTTGTGACTTTTATCCAGTGGCTGACCTGACATTAAATAGATGCCCAGCGGGCATCTCAAACTTACCTCACTCCAAATAGGACTCTTGATTTCTCGTCTCCACACTTTTCCCCCCATGGCCCATTAACCATTCAGTGGCTTTATTTAAACCCCTGGAGTCACCCTTGACTCCTCTCTTCAGTTCATCTCCACACCAGTCCACCAGCCAGCCCCGTAGATCTCCAACTACTGCATCCTGGTCCAAGTCACCATCACCTCTCACCTGCACGGCTGCATAACCCAACTGGGTGCTCTGCTTCCACCCTGGATCACACAATCCATTGTCTACTCAGCGGCCTATCTCTTTCTCATTCTCTAAAGGACACCAGAGCCTATGTTTCCCTACATACAGCCATGCAGCGGTGCCTCATCACACTTAGAATTAAACCCAAATTCTTTTTTTTTCCTTTGGATGCACCACATTTGACATGTGGGATCCTAATTTCCCAATCAGGGATCGAACCCATGCCCCCTGCAATAGAGGAACTGGAAGCTCGGAGTCTTAACCACTGAACCTCCCGGGAAGTCCTAAAGCTAAGTTCCTTATGCCCTCTGTGACCTGGCCTCTGCCCAGCTCTCCACCACCCTCTCCTTCTCTCAGTTCATTCCAGCTACCGTGACCTGTGACATCAAGATCATTTTTGCACCATGGGACCCCCTGCTTGGAGCACCCATTCACCAGATCTTCCCACAGCAGACTGCTACTCATCTTTTAGGTCTCAGCTTCAGTGATATCTCATTAGAGAGACGTTTCCTGCTCCCCTGACTACATATGTCATCAATCACTCTCTGCCTATCTCTATCTCTGATCCACTCTTGTTTACTAACGGTGTTTGTTATCAGCTCCTTGCCCCTGAGATCACCAGTTTCCTGAAGGCAGAGACCTCATCTAACTTTTTGGCCATCATTTCTGAGAGCTAAGAAGAACATCAAGTCAGAGTTGGCGCTCAAAATACGAGTAAGTGATTTCAACAAATAACTCCGGGACTTTCCTGGTGGTGTGGTGGTTAAGACTTTGTGCTTCCCTTGCACTGGGCCTGGTTATGGAACTAAAATCCCACATGCTGCGAGCAGCCCGGCCAGAATATATAAAAACTAAAAATTAAAAAACTAGTTGACAAGAACCAGGTAACTCCGGAGCACGGATTCTGGCTCGAGGCCTGAGGTTGCAAAGATGCTGTGGAGGAACCAATGATGTTCCAGGCCAAGCAGAGCGGAGTCAGTGCCTTTGACGCAGTTGAGTTCACGGTGGTTCTCAGGGCTGTCCCCGAGTTCTGGCATGGGCATGCTTCAGAAATTTCCAGTGATAATACATTTTACAAGCTTTGTACCAGCTTTACACCTACACGCACTCACTATGACCCCCCCAGAAGTTTCCTATGGGGCACTGACCCTCAACCCCAGTTAGTCATACGTTCCTTGGGGGTTCTGCCTGTCAACCCTGGGGGCTTCAAAATTTCTTCTAGTCAAATCACCAAGCTCTTTCCAAGAAGAAATGGCAAAGACGTGTATGCCTTCCTGTGGGCGCCTTGTGTGTATCTGCGCTGAGTCAGGCATCTCCCCACCTTGAGGGTAACCTCAGCATTTCCTTCCAGCCTTGCTTTCATCCAGGCTCGGATGGCAGAAATTTGAAAGTGCTTTCTGGAGAAAAGCTGAGTAATGATTTTGCCATGGGTGGGACTTTTAGTGTCCGTCTTCCTCGCAACTGGCCCTTCGTATATATACCTCCCTGAGTATGGCGAGCACATCTCACTCCAGCAGCTGTTGCCAAAGCAGCCTCGCTCTCTCCTGCCATGGTCTCCTCCTCAGGTATCACCGGGTCCCGCGGGCACTGATGCTGGGGGGCACGGTCGGGTCTCCCCAGACGGAGAGGAGGACTGGAGGGGCCCAGCCCGGCACAGCTCCAGCGGTGGGAGCTGGGGTGGGTGGGGGTGTACGGTCCGCATCTCACAGCCTCACTTTCTTTTTCCAGGATCCTCGGGGCTTGCCCTGTTCCTGCTCTGCTGTTCGGGAGCCTTGCTCTCCTCCCATAGCCATCCACTACGGCGAGACATACAATCAGATGTAATCACAGAATTGCAGTTCTCATTTTCTAAACTCATGGAAGAATATGTAAGTGCCCACCAGATTTCTTTTTTAAGCCATTTCTTTAAAATGCCTTCCTTGGCCCCCAGAAGCAGCCTGTGACATACCCAGAAGGGATGGGAACGACTAGACAGGCTCTTGTTGTTCTTGTCATTCAGTTGCTCAGTCGTGTCCAACCCTTTGTGACCCCATGGACGGCAGCACACCAGGCTCCTCTGTCCTCCACTATCTCCTGGAGTTTGCTCAAATTCATGTCCATTGAGTAGGTGATACTATCTAACCATCTCATCCTCTATCGCCCCCTTCTCCTCCTGTCTTCAATCTTTCCAAGCATCAGGCTCTTTTCTGATGAGTCGGCTCTTCACATCAGGTGGCCAGAGTATTGGAGCTTCAGCTTCAGCACAGACAGGCTGGATGGGATTTTTGTGAGGTTGGTGGTGGGGGTCAGAGATAGAGATTAGCCCAGAGAGCCCCAAGCTCAACAATTTCTCACGTACCCCTACTTTTGTGGGATTGTTCATCCCTGACATATTCGGTTCACAGGTTCCTCCCTCCCTGCTCTTCAAGGAACAGCCAATCTCAGCCTAAGCTGTACATGATAGTCCAGCAAATATAGGATGCTAAATTCCTCGTGTGGGTCACAAGGAGCGTCTCTTATGGCAGATAAGGGCGGTTAACACATTAGATGTCTGTGTACGTGTTACTTATGAATTAGGGCTCCGTCAGCTTCTAGCAGAGGCCCGGTTGAGCCTGACCCACGGCAGGGAAAGTGTACATGTAAATACTCTTTCAGTTTCTCAGGGTTGTGGTCAAGACAGGAGCTCTTACATAGCTTTGAGTAAACAGAAAGCAACACGTGGAAGTGATTCGTAAGATTGGCCTTGCTCTTCCCTTCCATCCTGGCATTTGAACTTTAGCCTTGGCTTTTTTTTTTTTTTATTTAACTTTGTCTGGGCTGGGTCTTCATTGGTGCACATGGGCTTTCTCTATTTGCGAACAGTGGGGGCTACCCTCTAGCTGCGGCATGCCGGCTTCTCACGGCGGTGTCTTCTCTTGTTGTGGAGCACAGGCTCTAGGGCAAGGGTTCAGACGTTGCGGCATCCACGCGTAGTTGCTCTGCAGCTTGTGGGACCTTCCCGGACCAGGAATGGAACCTGTGTTTTCTGCATTGGCCAGCGGGTTCTTAACCACTGAGCCACCAGGGACGCTCCTGCCTTGACTTCCTTCTACAGATGCAAAGGATGAGGCTGTTGGCTCTGGTGATCAGGCAGCTTCAGGTTCATGAGATGCTTCTAATCCCCAGGAAGAGAGATGGGAGAGGGTGTGGTCTGGAGTCCATGGTGTGTTGGAGTAAAATCTCTCTGGCATCTTGGAGACCTTTCCAGGTGGGAGACCACTTCCCACCGTGGCCAGGAGAGGGGGATACTTTTTAAAATTAATTTATTTTAATTGGAGGCTAATTACTTTACAATATTGTGGTGGTTTTTGCCATACACTGACATGAATCAGCCATGGGTGTACATGTGTCCCCCTTCCTGAACTCCACTCCCCCACCTCCCTCCCCATCCCATCCCTCTGGGTTGTACCCAGTGCGCCGGCTTTGAGTGCCCTGTTTCATGCATCGAACGTGGACCAGTGATCTATTTCACATGTGGTAATATACATGTTTCAATGCTATTGAGAGGGGGATATATTGACTTTACATGGAGTCACAGAGAACCAGGAGTAGCTTAGAAACCCAGATGCCTTCCCCTTCTCCACCTTTCTGGGCCCCTGAGCAGCTTAGAGTGGATTCCAGAAGGCTGCATGGTCCTTAGAGGAGAGGAGGTAGAGATGGTGCAGAAGAGGCAGGATGGAGCCGTGGTTAGTAGTACAGGCTTTGGGAGTGCTGCCTGATGTGGGTTGGAATACTACTCCACCACCTGATCTTGCACCAGCTCCACAAACCAGCTGAGCTTTAGTTTCTTCTGGGAGAGGGGACAGTGACCATCACAGCCTTGCAGGCTTGTGGCACTGATTAGATAAGCTGCTGAAGAGAAAGCACTGCCCAGGACTCTCGACTTTGCTATTGATGTTTAGTTGCTCAGTCACGTCTGACTCTGCAACTCCCTGGACTGTCACCCGTCAGGGATTCAGTTTGTAGTCCATGGGATCTCTAGGCCAGAATACTGGAGTGGGTTGTCATTTCCTTCTCCAGGAGATCTTCCCGACCCAGGAGCTGTCAGGATTTCTGGCTGCTTTGCAAAACTAACGCTCACCTATTTCCCCTCCTCCTTCCACAGGAGCAGAAAGAGAAGGGAGTGCCAAAATCCTGCAAGTGCCAGATGCAGTGTTTTTCTGTGAGCCCCCAACCGCCACACAACATCAACAGCTCAGCCATCCTGCCTTATTTCAGAGCAATTGAACCATTTTTCAATGACAAAAATTTTACTGATGTCATGGACCATCTCAAAAAACTTGAATCGCAACGTGCACCAGACATTTCTGTGCCTACAGACAACTTTCAACGTAAAATGTTCATCAAGTGTGTTTTAGAAATGTTTTCAAAGTGCTTGAAATTAGTGGGCACTGAAACCCAGGAGGTCACTGAAGACCATCTGGTTGACCCTGTTCCTTTTGAATGGCAGAAATGCAAGGAGCCTTAAAAAAAGAAAAAAAGATGGTGAGTGACAGCTGTGTATGAGAATTCTGCTGTGAGTTAAGTAAGTCATTCTAGTTATCATCTCAATGAAGCCTCAAAATTGCGAGTCCTGGGAAGACTGAGATATAAATGTCTGAGCTAACTTGAAAATGATTTCAAATTATGTCATTGTTCTTTGTCTTGTTATTTATAGAATGTTTTTCTCGGAAGACTTAAATTGTATTATACCCTTGTGAGGGCAGAAGGTGACAGCTATTTTAATTTATTGATATTTATCATACTGAGATTGTTAATGCTCCTTGGAGGAGCCCTTGGAAACTATTTAATAAATTATGCTGAATTTTTCTCATAACCTGTTTTGGATTTTGTGCATGGGTGAAGAGTGGTGACTGAGGGGGTAGCCAGGGTATCCAGGCTAAGTGGTGTTGGGGCTTAGGGTGATTGAGACGTGCTGTAGAAATAAATAATATCTGTCACTGCTGTTTCTCCTCATTGGAAAGGCTTAGTGGCAAAGGATGATAATTTTAGCAGTAGTAAGCGTTCATTGGGCATCTTCTTGCCAGACACTGAAAGTTTCACTCTCTCCTCTCTGCATAGGTGGGGAAACTGACGCAAGAAGTCATTTAGTCACTTGCTCAAGGCTACATAGTTGTTAAGTGTGTGTGGTTGGGGGGACAGATTCAAGCATCTTTAAAGAAATATATTTATTTTTGGCTGCGCTGAGTCTTCACTGCCGCCCTCAGGCTTTCTCTCATTTTGGCGAGTGGGGGCTACTCTTCCTTTCGGTGATGCACAGGCTTCTGGCTGAGGGGCTTCTCTTGTTTCGGGGCACAGTCTCTAGGCATGTGGGCTCAGTAAGTTGTGGGGCACAGGCTTAGTTGCTCCATGACATGTGGGATCTTCCTGAATCAGGGATCAAACCAGTGTGCCCTGCTTTGGCAGGTGGATTCTTAACCACTGGACCGCCAGGGAAGCCCCTCAAGCCTACTCTTTACCACTCTGCCAACCTTTGTCCCTCCCTGGGCAGGCATTTAACGCCATGCCTGGCACAGAGCAATCATTCACGTGTCTACTGCCTAGCTCCCCACTGGATTCCCAGTGTCCCGGCTCCTGCAAAGGTCTGTTCCATCATTTCAGCAGTGACATAGCCACGGCCAAGGATTTCCTCATGACGAGATGCGTCCATAGCTGTCCACAGTACTCAGGGATCATCTGGACAAATGGTTCTCCAAGCATGGTCTCCGGATCAACAGCATCGGCATTGCCTGACAATGTGTTAGAAACACAAAGCCCTGAGCCCCACCCCAGACCTAGCCAGGCCTACTGAATCTGACACTCTGGGGGTGCAGCCAGCAACCTGTGTTTGAACAAAACCTCCATATATGTGCACCAGCCTGAGAACCACTGTTGATCAGCACCTTCATCTTCACCTTAACTGGGGGGAAACTGAAGCCAGAGAGAGAGTATAATTTGCCCAAGTTCTCGTGTAAAAGAAACGAGGTTAGGACTCTGAGATATGCAGTCCAACCTTGGCTTCTTCTCATTCTTATTTTTGTGGGTGTTTTCTTCTTCTTCTTCTTTGGTTCTGTTGCTCGCCTTGCAGGATTTTAGTTCCCCAACCAGAGAATGAACCTGGGCCACCACAGTGTAAGTGCCAAGTCCTAACCACTGGACCTCCAGGAATTCCCTCTGGTGGGTATTTCTACTCCAGTCCCACACCAGGCTTTTAAAGTCCTTGAATATCCTAGCCTCCAATGACAATGTTTTGATCAGTCCTTCCAGAAACACCCATGTGCTTGGCCATCTATTGTTCTTTTTGACTGTCCTATATTGGAACACTCTTACTATTGTTAGAAAAACCATCCAAAAATGGGGATATAAGGCAGAAAGATGACCATATGTCCATTCAAAGAATAAAATTAATGTGTAGTACTCTGTGGAGATATAAAAAAATAAATACGAGAAAAGGGACAAATGTTCCCTGCATAATTCTAGTTAATAAACATAAAAGAAGAAAATAGAAAATCACCATTAAGCACCACAGTGGTAACTGCTAAAGAC